ATACACGGTCGCATCCCACTCAGACCTCCAGGAGATGCAACCTCCCTCAGGTGGCTCTTTAAAATCCACAATCCTCAATTAACAAGACAATCCACCTCACACCCAGCAGGTAGTGATGAGAACAGGCAGGACACCCTCCTAAGCCTTGCTGCCCAGGAAGGAGAGGGTGCAGATGCAGCAATTGCTGCTCTGCGGTGTTTTTGCAATCCTGCTGGGCCCTGTCCTGGGCTGCGGGGAGTCCTTGCTCAGGCCCAGTTCTGCTCTTGGGGCCACATCTGAGCTTGTGACATCCTCACTGGACACAGCTTTCACAACCATCTTCCTGCCTGAAGATGAATATAAGATATCCTGAATCGCCACGGTTTTTTTTTTTTTTTTTTTTTTTAAGGCCTTGCTAATGGTTTCTTAAACTTACTACATCTTTATTTCCAGGCAGGTCCAGGGTCAGTGACTACATTCGTGGTTTGTTCCTGGAAACAGTTCCCACGTCAGCTTTTTCTTTGCTTCCTTAACCACGTGCCCCTCCCTCAAGTTGGCTTTGCAGTTTCCAGGCTCCAGTGGGAAGATCACACCCTTCATTGGATGGTCACCACGAGGCCCAGTCACTGTGTTCAACTAAGTCTCATGGGGCCTTTGTTGCTCACCTGCACCTCTTACTATTGGAGACTAGAAGCAGTTGGCTTTTCCAGAATTGCAAGGCCCTGGTTGACATCTTTCCACCCTTTTCCCTTCTGCTTGTAAACTGGCTAATTCTTTCTTGAAGTAAACTTTTTCTCGTGATGCCTCGCCAAAAGCAGCCGGTAACAATCAACACATAGGATTTGTTGTTGTTGTTGATTCCCCTCAAGTCAAAAAGTCAGCAGACATGGAGTTTGCTTTCCGAGTTACCGAGTGAAACAGCCTTACCAGATGTTTTGCTCCGCCTGGCAGGGACCTCAGTTGTCCTGCCAGCTGCACCTGTCTTCTCACTGCTCGCCACCTGGCCACACGCTGAGCCACTGCCATGTACCTAAGGTTTTGGTTACAGGGGCACTGTACTTCAAAGTGCTGATTTGTATATTGGTGAGAATAAGAAAAGCTAACTGGTGACAAAGTCCCAAGTCTCAGTGGATCAGTAGAGTGAGTTTGCTTTCCAGTGATGCAATGGCCAGCAGAGCTCTTACTGATCAGGTGGCCGACCTCTAAGGGGTGACTCAGGGACCCACAGTCCCTCCAGTGTCTTTAACATGTGGCCCCCAGGAGAGTCCCCTGTGGGAGCATTTGTGTGCCGTTTGGAATTGGTGCCCATCACTTCTTCCAACCTTCCCTTGGCCACGGCTTAGCTTGGTCCCAACCTAACTGCAGGGAGGCTGGGGAAATGATGAGCTATGGGCCCAGTAGGTTTGGTAAACACAGCATTGCCTCTGCCACAGTACCACCAAATCACAGGGTTTCTATCCTGTTACTGTTGGTGGCTCCCACAGCCCTCCCTGGAAGAGTTTCAAAGTCCTTCTCAACTTGTTTGTGGCCACTAGTCCAGCCATTTCCCTCCCCAAGCCAGACCTGAGCTCTGGTGGGCAGGCCTCCTCCAGGCTCCTGCCCTCACCTCAGGCCCTGGCCCTAGTACCCTGCCACCTTCCCCTATAGGAGTGACCGCCTTGTGTTTCCTCCTTTCAATGACCTCATCCTTCTGGAAGGAACCCATAGCACTGGGAATCTGCACTCTGCATTGGGGCAATGAAATGCACGACTCTGACCCACTCTGAGGGCAGGAGACAAAGTGAGGTAGGACGCACAGGAGGCCCCCAAACAAGGCCTTGCCAATGGGAGTAACTTCATCAAAAATTCAAGGCCAACGACAACGACAACGCTGTGGCCACGGTTGAGACCTGTCAGCACACTTGAGATTTAGCAGTTTGGAGACAACCTAGAGGGACATTCAGGAGCCCGTGAGGACAGCGCAAAGTGGAAGAATACATTGGAGACAACAGCGTGGTTAGTGGAGGAGTGAGACAGCTGTCCATACCTCACCGCTCAGATCTGTCCCTGCCCCCATGGGCCCAGCTGCCCTGTAGGCACACAAAGGCTGTTGTGGAAGGTCTGTGGCTCACAGCTGCCTGGAGAGGTGTCTGAGGTACCTGCCAGGGGTTTTCACTCTTACCTCCATAACTGCCAAGTGCTTCCTCTGAGGCAGTCTGAAAACTGGTAAACGCTTTTTTTTCCCTTTAGGTTCTAATGAACAAAATGTAAATATAGGCAAAACAATGCAAAATCAAAATGAAACACTCAGAACAAAAGCCACATTTTTACCAGATCTACTTTTATTTCAGAAGGAAGTTTGTATTATAGTATTTACTTTTGTTTATATACAAGTTCTTCACATTTGTGTTTAAAATGCACAGACCTCCCTTAGTTCTCTTGTTCCTGCTTAAATTAGCTGTTATTTTACAATACAAAAAATACCAAAAAATTGCAGTCCTAAATGTATGTATAACACCCACAATCCCCAGCAATGAAATAGTTTACAATACTTACTCCATATTTACATGAGTGTAATAGATGCTAAATTATACATATTAACAAACTAAGCTTGAATCCAAACGAAACCGTAAATAACTATAAAACAAAAACATTTCCAGAGCCAGAATTAGTCAACGAAACAGGCTTCACTAGTGTTTAGAATGTTTTGTGCACAAATTCAGTTACTGAAAGTCAATTCCATTATTGCCTTTAAAAGAGAAGGCGCCAATTTTCCTCTCCACTTCAAAACATCTCCTTGTAGGCAGAGTGTTTGACTCTCATCAAGGGGCAATGTCTCTTGGTGGGCCGGCTATCTAGAAACCACCGCAGTGGCTGAAGCCAAGTTTGGTCAATGGGGTAAACATTTCAGAAGGTAGGCAGGGCGTGCCCTGAGGACAGGAGGCCTCTGCCATCCTGGCTCTGCCCTCAGGATAGCCAATTCTCACAGAAACCACCACAAGGAAAGATCTCCTGGGTTGACAGGGGTGTGAGGCCTTGGATTTTAATTCTAAAATCTATTTTTACATCTAAGTCACTACCCTAGCATTAGCTTAGGTTAGTGTTTAGCAAATACTTGTTGAATGGATGGGTGAATAAATGAAATGGAAGGATCAAAGATGTTCATGAAAACACCACCATGGGCCGGGCGCGGTGGCTCAAGCCTGTAATCTCAGCACTTTGGGAGGTCGAGACGGGCGGATCACGAGGTCAGGAGATCGAGACCATCCTGGCGAACACGGTGAAACCCCGTCTCTACTAAAAAATACAAAAAACTAGCTGGGCGAGGTGGCGGGCGCCTGTGGTCCCAGCTACTCGGGAGGCTGAGGCAGGAGAATGGCGTAAGCCCAGGAGGCGGAGCTTGCAGTGAGCCGAGATCGCGCCACTGCACTCCAGCCTGGGCGACACAGCGAGACTCCGTCTCAAAAAAAAAAAAAAAAAAAAAAAAAGAAAACACCACCATCTCCCAAGCAAGTGAATCAGCCCCTGGCCCCAATACACCCCATTAAATCAAAGGAGCAGGATTTGCACTGGAAGGTAAAATGCCTCTTCCCACCGGCAGTGCCCTGCTCTTTTTATTTCCCAGGTGTCTCCAGTCTTGAATGGCAGGCCTTACCCACGGGTAGTCCAGTACTTTCCTTCTGCTGACAGTCTTCTGTCTAGGACTGCCTTTTCTCCGGGTTAGCTCAGGGGATCTGGGATTGCCTTCTCTCCACACAGGGAGGCGCAGGCTTCTCCCCAGGCTACGTGCAGGGACGGCAGGAGGCGCACAGGAGTTCAGGGTATGTCGAATTCTCCACGGGGAAATGGGAACTATTTATCAACAAACTAGCTCCCTTCTCTCACTCCCAGTTTTCAGTATAATAAACTGATTCCAGGAAATGGTCATTAAAAATTTAGACAAAACTACAAAAAATGGAGAACCCTCCTTTGGAAAGTCTGATTGCCACAGGTTATAGTCTTTGAACTTAAGACTAACAGAAACATTTCTCAGGACAAGACTGCTCATCCCTCACTACCCAGAGTACCAAGAGGCTGCCAGAAAGGGTCATGATGTGCTTGCAGGGCCAAGGGCAGCAGCAGAGATGCCTCTGCCTCCCGAGTCTCCTCAAGCGCTGCCGTTCTGATTCCCTGCCTGATTTTTCATATGACTCTGACAGATGGGTCCTGTTTTAAGAAATACCTAATTGGTGCCAGATGCATCTGAACACATCACACAATGGGGATGCGTTTCTTGGGTTATTCATGTATTGGGGCCTGGCAAGAGGAACTCTCGGAACCTGGATACCCAGCATATGGCACAAAAACATCTTAGATGAAACTCAGACATTGTTATATTTAATAAAAATACATGAAGATTTTTTCTGTTTTATGTACACTCCGAATGTCTGAGCATTCTGGACACTACTGTATAGTTATGTACAAGTGCAAGGTCAGTGTTGTCTTGACTATTTTAATTTATATACAGGCTCTCTTGTGACACGCAACATTGCCAGATGAAAACCCATTCCTTCTTGGTAACAGGCTCCAAGCCCAGCGCCTCTTACTCCCTGCCATTCCCTTTTTCTGCCCTGAGGCCAGAGGAAGCTGTTTGCTGTTGGTTGCAAAGGAGAAGCAGGTGGATTCAGCCGCTTCCCCACTGCTGGAGCAGGATGAAACTTCACTTGCTCCTTCCTTCCTTTTTAAAAATAAACATTATCTTTTAGGAAAAAAAAAAAGACATAACCAGATGGCTGTGGGTCATGGTACATGATATTTCAAGGCATAGGACTAACATGGGGAAGAGACTTCTTTGGCCAAGGAAAACTGGTTCTTTGAACAAACAAAGAGGATCTTCCTTGTGGGAGGACAACGCCCAGGGGCCTCCCTTTTGCCTTGCCGGCGGGGCGGAGTGGGGGGGGCGGGGCGCTGTGGGAATTGGTGGGCCAGTCCACTGCAGGTGGAGTGGGGGGGCGGGGGCGCTGTGGGAATGGATGGGCCAGTCCACTGCAGGTGCTATGGGTGCTGTTTTCTGTAGCAGGGATGGGGGAGCTCATGAGAGGAGGGGTCTTTTCTAGAATGTCTGCTCTTCAACAATAATGTGAAAAAGAAGCTTTATGAGAGGTGAGTCTCAAAGTAGAGGTGTTTTGTGCATCAGATAGTGTTTTATGGTTCAACTTCCTTGAAAACATCTTTCCAGGCAATTCTTCATGGGAGTGGAGCTAGTGTTGGGGAAGAGACAATACTCTCTCTCTAGGCATGGCATTTAAAGGTAAAATGCCACAGTTTTGGCTCTTTTGAGTGTTTCTCCAAATTCACAAACTCGAGCATTGCTGTCCAGCGGTCCATCCCAATAGGGTAATGCCAGAGATCCCAGGTTTTGAAGCAGAAGAGAGCTTCTGGGAGGCGGCCGCGTAATGCCAGAACGGAGCACCATAAATCGGGAAAACACAATTTCCAGGCAGTGCCCTCTGGGAGAGGCGCAGGGGACTGTCCCACTCTCTTAAATCTAAATTTGGTCATTTTCCATTTGGCATAGAGTTTTCCCTCCTCATCCATTTTTTTTCCATGTGCTTTTCATCCTTGTCAGCATTTGCTGCCCTCCTCACAGTCACCACCTTGGTCTGAGAGGGAGGGTGGGTGGGGGGGTGGGTCGAGCCCCTCCTGGGGAAAAGAGGGCAAACAGGTCCTTCTCTAGGCTTTGGGCAGCTTCTGCCTGACAATGGGAGGCTGTCTCTCTCCTGGCATCTGAGTCCACCCCAGCCTAAGGATGAACCACAAGTTCAGAGGAGGCTGCAGGACACACAGCTGCTCTCTGATCCAGGGGTCCCAAGTGTTCTCAGTGCTCTTTTCTGCTCAAGGAAACGTGACATGAATGAGTCCCTTCCTCTGATCACTTATCAGGCCTAGGGTGACATGGGGGTGGGGGCAAGGGGCGCCTTCTTGACAGTGTCCTTTTTGATAATAAAAACAGGAGCTTTCACAGTTCATTCATTTCTGCTTTCCTCTCATCCCTGCTGCTAGGTCAGACGTTCCTTGGGGTAAGAAAATTCTTTCCTGGCTGCAAATCAGATTTTAGAAAAAAAGCAGATTGCCAATGGTAGCTATTTAAATTTTACAAGAATGTAGGAATGCAATTATGTAAAAACTTAGGCTTACTAACTTTCCAATTGCTAGATCTATTTAAAGTCTAGGCACTTAGTGTTGTGTGTATGTATTTGTGTGTGTATGTGAGAGAGGGGGGGGTAAGATGGAGAGGGAGAAGGAGAAGGACAGGCAGAGAGAAAGGAAGAGAGAGTTTCAAATGGATTAAGACTAAATTAATCAAGTTGCTATAGAAAACTACCTGTTATACCAGTTTACATTTGAAGTAACGCTGTTGACCTTGACATTGAAAATAGCCCCCCTTCTATCCTAGCTTGATATGATCAAAAGAGATGGACCATTATCAATTCTCAACTAGAAAAAAAGGTACTCCCTGGAAGAGAGAGAATTGCCTAAATCGTGCAAGAATAAACAGCACATCTTTTAAAAAAGATAGCAGGCTTCAGATGAAAACCAGTTAATTCATCTGACTAGTTTTTAAAAGACCATGTTCAAGAACAACTGATGACGAACATCTACTTGTAAACACTCCATCTTTTGTTTTTTGCAGTTGAGACAGTCCCAAGAACAGTTTTCCACAGTGAACCTGAGTGTCATTCCTAGTTCTCTCACTGGCTCTACACCGGCCTCCTCCAGCAACCATCAGCTCATTCCTGGACCTGTAATTAAATCAAGTATTTCCTATGCAAAAGTAAAAGGTTAGATGCTGGAACACGGATGGGAGAAACCGTCAAAGAAAGCTTGTGGTCATGCAGGTGAGTCAGATGCTTTGAGGGTTTCCAGTCTTCTGCCCCGCACCGCACAGCCGTTTCCCCGCCGTGTCCTTCCCTGCAGACAGCTCTGGTGTGCCACTCACTGGCTCGTGCGCGGGAGAGTCCCTGGTCCCAGCATCAGATGCAGGTCCCAGGCTGTGCAGGGGGCTGCTGCTTCCGGTTTCTCACGGCTCCTGACTTCTCCTTGTACACTATCGGCATCTGCTGAGAAATGTCCACCAGGGCGCTGGCCACAGCAAGACCTTGGGAGAACCACAGAGAGAACATAGGTTGGGAGCAGCTGGCTTTTGTTTTAAAAAATAATTTAAACATTTATTTTGCAATCCCATGATGTAAAACAAACCAAAAAAACACAATAAAAACCCCCAAAAAGGTACACATACACAGGGAAAAGTCTTACTTCCACCCTGACCCTCCCTCTACCTTCCCCTCCATCTGGGTAAATGTTTTCACTAATTTTTATGTATTCTTTCAGTGTGTATTTATGCAAATACAAATACATATTCTTTTCCTTTCCCTACTTTTTACACAAAAGGTGTAGTTTGCTTTTCAGCACATCAACCAAGCAGAATGCTCTGCTTGGTGGTGGGAACATATAAATGAGATTGCAGACGTATGCTAAGTGCCCAATTTCTCCTGCCTGCCTCCAAAAGGAGCCAAGAAACAGCAGCACCCTTTATGAGGAGATTTGGATTCACCCACATCATTCAGTCAGCATTAGTCACTTCCATTCCATACCACGATACAGGCAGGGCAGGCTCTGGGGCCAGGCTTTGGAATAAGCAAGGTTCTTTAACCTCCCCGTGCCTTAGTTCCCTCATTTGTAAAATGGGGATAATAATAGCACAGGGCTAATGTGAAGTCAATGAGTGAACTGACATAAAGTCTTAGTACCTGGCAGGCATAAAATCTTAGTATCTGGCACACAGCAACCAACGATCAATAGCAATTACCCTTAATGCTCATCACTGCCCCGCCGCCCACTTTGCTTTGGCGACTTGCAATCCTGTTTTCCTTCCTGTATTGGTAACAGAGTAATCTGACATCCATTAGGGAAGGCACGGTTCTGGAGGAGCTGGATTCCTAATACACGTGGGAAATGGCCAGTGCAGGCTCGGAGCCCTGCTGAGACCTGCCAGGAGCTGTGTTAGTGGAGCGTGTTACTCACCTTGCTGAGCCTGTGAAGGGGAGTGGGGGTGGGGGTAGACAGCTGTAAGTGCCTGGCACATAGTGGGGAATGCTCTAGGAGTCCAGAAAATGGCACCACTTAAAAGAGGGGGTACAGAAAGGGCAGCAAAGACGGCCCCACTGTTGGGTGAGTCTCAAGCAGTGAACAGACCTTTATTAGGTGTTTTGGGTGGTTGGGGCACATCAGGCAAAGGCTGGAGCAGGAAAGGCTACAGGGCTGCACACCTGTCACCTCGCTGCCCCAGCCACCACCCTGCCTTCAGGGAGCATCAGCCACTGTTTGCTGGGCTGGGTGGTGGCAGGAGACACAAATTACACTTGAATGACAGATCAGAGAGTTGTCCTGGCCTCAACATGGGAAGGCCGAGTTAGGGGCTCAACTCACAGGAATCCCTAGGTGAGATGAAGACAATGAATCCTGGCCGAGCCATGCAGAAAGGCCTCCCTTGTGAAGATACCACAGATCCTAACCGTTCTAAAGCTGGGCTGGAGGATCTTCTGGGTCTGAGGGTGCACTGAAGGGACAGTGGAGCTCAGGGCCTGGACCAGTATCCTGAGGCAGCCTTTCCACCAGACACAGGGTTCTCTCTGGCTAAGGTAACCCTGACCTCAGAATCATCTCAACTGAAAGTTGTCTAAAATGATCACATTGAGGCATCCTCCAAGCACTCTGTAATTAAGCGAGATACTTTCAAAACTGTATTCCATATTTTCTGTCTTCAAAATAGGAGTTTATATAATTACGATTCATATATTTGATGGAGAAGTGTCACATGCATTGGTAAAATATTATGTAGTAGGCTGTAAAAATGTTTAAGATAGTTATATGAAAAAAGCAGAATAAAAATTAGATCTATACAATCATTTCAACTAAATTGCTGGTCAGGGCTGGAAAGAACACAGAACAATGAAAATTGGAGGGTTGTGGGACAGCTGTGCGTGGATTTTCAGACGTTTCCTTTATGTTATCGTTGTGTTTGTACCTTATATTTAAAACAGAGAAAAAGCAAAAGAAATGCAGGAGGGCTAGAAATACCAGTTGAAGAAACACCAGCCCAGGGCAGATGGCTGGAAGTTGTGGAGTGGAGAAGGCGACCGAGGAAGAGCATGCAGAGTGAAGGGAGCACGCCCAGATTCAGGGGTAGGACAGGGCAAAGGAGACAGGGAAAGAGCAGCAGAGGCAAAGGGGGACCAGAAACTCCGACAGCAAAGGAAGGTGTGCTCAGAGGCATCCACGAGCACTGAGAGGCTGGGGAGGCAGGAACGCTGAGGAGGTCCCGGGACGTCCCCCCAGGAAGGGATGATGACCTTGGGAAAACAGTTTTGGGCATATAGATGAAAATGGGATTATCTCACTGAATCCTTGCCATGGCATGGGCAGGCACTGTTGATTATCACCTTCATAACCTTGTTCTCTAGGAAAGGGAAGTATCCCATGCTTAGCTCCCTCACATGTTTAGAAGGTGTCTGTCGCTGGCCCGTATCTACTCACCTGACTGCCCAGGAGGAGGGATGCCACCCAGGCCTCGAGGGAGCCTCACAAACACAGAGAGGACAGCGGCTTTGTTGCCAAAACATGGCTCCAGTGCAATGGGTTTGGGAACAGTCTGGCGGAAGAAAACAAAATTACCTAAAGTGATAAGCTTTAACGTACACGGACAACTTAACGGTCATTGGTGCTTATAAGAACCATCAATTTTAGGTCTATAAAAAAGGTACATTGCAGTTTTTAAGAAAACAAAAAAGGGCAGGTGAGAGCTAACAGTACTCTCTGAGCACCAGTGACAGGGGTGGTACTGCTTGCTACCTTCCACTGAGGTCTCACAGTCTGCTGCCAAAGGGTTGCATGAACTGGAGGGAAGGGGTCATGCCAAGTGGGTTTCTCCTGGATGCTGTACTTTCGCTCGATTTGAAATTCTAACTCAGAATTGTAGGTCACAGGAATGGCAGTGGTGAGTGCTTGGTAGATTTGTCAGATAGTTCTGCATACCTGGCTCAAACACAGATGCAGATATTATGGAGACTTAAAAAACATTCTATTTTGTCTGTCCTTTAGACACTAAGTAGACAAGCCTGCTGGATATAAAAGCTTGTAAAAGCTGGGTGGCTGACCAAGTGGATTCTTTGTCTATTCTCTGGATGCATTTGGCTCTGGAAAATATGTCTTCATCTTCTGTTGGAGCCTTTAGATGAGATTTGTCCCCTATATTAGTTTCTTCTCTTTTTCTTTTCTTTCTTTCTTTTATTTTTTAAAGACTAGAAATGGGGTCTCACTATATTGTCCAGGCAGGTCTTGAACTGCTGAGCTCAAGCGGTCCTCCCACCTCAGCCTCCCAAAGTGTTGGGATTAAAGGTGTGACCTACTGCACCCAGCTTATATTAGTGTAACAGACTACTGCAAACTTAGTTGCTTAAAACAACACACACTTATTATCTCATAGCCTTAGAGGTCAGAAGTCCCAGCAAGCTCTGTAGCGTTCTCTGTTCATGTCTTCCATGAGTTCTGGGGAATAATCAGCTGTCTCCTGAGGTCTCCCAGGCTGAAGTCAAGTTGTCAGCTGGGTGGGACTCTCCTCTGGAGACTCTGGGGAAGACTCTGCTTTGAAACGCATTCAGGGCTTACGTAGTGGCTCACACCTGTAATCCCAGCACTTTGGGAGACCCAGGAGGGAGGATCCCTTGAGCCCAAGAGCCATGATCTTGCCACTGCACTCCAGTGTGGGTGACATAGCCAGACTCTGTCTCACAAAAACAGAAAAACTTCTGTGGCCCCTCCATCTCTAAACCAGGGATGGTGTATCAAGTCCTTCTCATGTTTCCAATCTCTCTGGCTTCCTCTTCTGCCACCCACCATAGAAACTCTCTGTATCTTAAAGTCACCTCCCTTGTTTCATTACATCTGCAAAATCCCTCTTGTAGTACCTAGAGTAGTATGTGACTGAATAAACATGGGACGGAAATCTTGGGGGCCACCTTTAGAATTCTGCTGATTACATCCACAAATATGTCATCAATTTCTTCAATTTGGTTGAAGAAAATAATTTCCAGTTCCACTCTACTGTGGCACAAGGAACTGACTAGATGGGTGAATGGCAGAGGCAGGGAGATCAGTTATGAAGTAACTGCAAGAATCTAGGTGAGAGACAGTGGTGGCCTAGATCAAGTGGGAACAGTGGCAGAGGTGGGACACAGTGGCTGGGTAACATTTTTGAAGACGGAGTCAAGATTTGCTGATTGGCTGTCCAATGAGAATATGACATCGAGAACGAGACAAGAACAATTCCATGATTTTGGCTTGAGCAACTAGGGTGATGAAGGTGTTATGAGCTGAATGGTGGAAGGTATGTCAGAGAAGCAAGCCTGAGAAATAAACATCCAAAGCTCAGCATGTTAAGATATCCAAGTGGGGACACTGAGTAGCCAACTGATGTTTGGGTTGGAGGCTCATGGGAGCAGTCTGGGTGAGAGGATCATGGTGCTTAAACCTGTGATAGTAAAGATCACTGAAGGAGTGGGTATAAAAGACACAAGAAGGGGACAAAGACAGGGCCTGATGCACACCACTGTCAAAAGATGAGGAGGACTGAGTCAAGACCACTGAGCAAGAACAGCTAGAAGGCAAGTGTGTGGTGTCCTGGAAGAAAATCAAGGAAGTGTTTTAAGGAGCAACTAACTGTGTCATATGCTGCTGACATATACCATGTTGTTCAATACTTTAGGCTTGTCTATTTTTTAATCCCACAAATATTATTTTACCAGGACAATGTTTGTTTAGATTTATATACATTATTATATTTTTATTTACTCACTATTCTTTCTTACTAAAACGTTAGTCTATCCTCCTGGGGGTAATTTTCCTTCATTTTAGCACATCCTTTAGACATTTCTTTTGTGCAGGTATGCTGGTGGCAAATTCTCAATTTTTCTTCTAATTTGAAGATACCTTTATTTCATCCTCGTTCTCAGAAGGTACTTACTGGGCACACTACACTATTCTAGGTTGGGAGCTCTCTTTCAGTACTTCGAAGACATTCTCCCACTCTCTTCTAACTTCTGAGAAGTCAGCAGTCAGCTTGTCATTCCTTAGAAGGTGATCTTTTCCCCCTTTTTTTTTTTTTTGAGATAAGAGGTACTCTGTCACCCAGGCTGGAGTACAGTGGTGTAATCTCAGCTCACTGTGACCTCTGCCTTCTAGGTTCAAATGATTCTCATGCCTCAGCCTCCCAAGTAGCTGGGATTACAGATGCGCGCCACCATGCCTGGCTAATTTTTGTATTTTTAGTAGAGACGGGGTTTCACCATGTTGGCCAGGCTGGTCTTGAACTCCTGACCTCAAGTGATCCACCCACCTCGGCCTCCCAAAGTGCTGGAATTACAGGTGTGAGCCACCACACCCGGCCTCTTTTCCCATTTTTAACAAAAATTGTGGTAAAATACACATAACATTTACCATCTTGACCATTTAAAAATGTACAGTTCAGTGGTATTAAGTATATTCACATTGTTGTGCAACCATCATTACCATCCATCTCCAGAACTCTCTTCATCTTGTAAAACTCAAACTTTGTACCTATTAAACACTAACTCCCCATTTCTCCCCGCTCCCAGCCCCTGGGAACCACTGTTTTACTTCCTGTCTTTATGAACTTGACTACTACAAGTGTATCTCTTAAAAGTGTAATCATACAATGTTTATTTTTTTGTTTCTAGCGTTATTTAGCATTGTAGCATGGGTCAGTTTGCTCCCTTTGGAAGGCTGGATAACATTCCATTGGATGCTTAGACCACGTTGTGCTTATCCATTCATCCATCCATGGACACTTGGGCTGCTTCCACTTTTTGGCTACTGTGAATAATGCTGCCAAGATATGTCTTTAAGACTCTGCTTTCAGTTCTTCTATGTATAAACCCAGATTGCCAGATCATATATAAATCTATTTTTAATTCTGGGGGGAACAGTGGTACTGTTTTCCACAGAGGCTCCATCACTTTATACTTCCATCAACAGTGCACTAAGGTTCCAGTTTCTCCACGTTGTATGTGATACTTCTCTGGCTGATTTTAAGATGTTCTCTTTGTCTTTGGAGTTACACAATTTCATTATGAGAAATCCAACTAGTTTTCTTTCCTTCCTGCCTTCCCTCTTTCTTTCTTTAATCATGCTTACAATATGTTTTGCTTCTGGAATCTGTATATTCATGTTTTCCATCGGTTCTGGAAAGCTATCATCCCTGAATATTGCCTCTCCTTTGTTCTGGGATTCTGGAAATACATGAGTTGGATCTTCTCATTCTATCCTCCATATTCTTAGTATCTATCGTACTTTCTATCTCCTTGTCTCTCTGAGCTGCATTCTGTGTACTTTTTTCAGATTCATCTTCCACTTCGTAAATTCTCTCATGTTTCATATGCTGTTTAACATAGTAAACTGAGTTTATTTAAAAAATTTCAATGAGTGTATTTTTCATTTCTAGAAGTTCCATTTGGTTCTTCTTCAGCTCCGCTTGGCCATACTTGACTCTCATCTTTTATGATTTCATCTTTTATTTCTCTAAACATTTCATACACAGTTACATTATATTCTTTATATTTCAATTCTAACATTTGGAGTCCTGTCCACATCAATCTTCTGTTGTTTCTGCTATTCTTATTTATGGTGGCTTGCCTCTTCTTGTCCCTGGTGATCTTTAATTACTTCATCTTGGTCTGTGGGACTCCAACAGCGCTGAATTGAAGATGTTTTTCTACAGAGAGGATTTCCATATATTCAGGTGGGCATCATGGTGTTTACCATCTGGAACCACTTAGGACAAATCATGGTTCTGGTTTTGGTTTATGGTTTGTTCTTTTTAGGGTAGGGAAGGAGACTATTGCCTGATTTTACCTATTTCCTGTGAGCTCAGTAACATTTTAAATAAGTATGTTTTATTCAAGATATATAGCTATTTCTCTAGTGTATCTTAAATATTCCATCATTTTGCCCAAGGAGAAAGTCTTACCATTTTCTTCATCCTTTTGGGGAGGCAGGTGATAAATATTTTCCATACAGTGTTAATACATAGTGTATTATCATTTTTCTGTTTAAAAAATTCCCCCAAATATAAAGAACAATGGGCTGGGCAGAGTGGTTCACGCCTGTAATCCCAGCACTTTGGGAGGCCGAGGCGGGCGGATTGCTGGAAGTTAGGAGTTCGAGACCAGCCTGGCCAAGATGGCGAAACCCCGTCTCTACTAAAAATACAAAAATCAGCTGGGCATGGTTGCACACGTCTGTAATCCCAGCAACTCAGGAGGCTAGGGCAGGAGAATCGCTTGAACTCGGGAGGTGGACTGCAGTGAGCCGAGACTGCGCCACTGCGCTCCAGCCTGTGTGACACAGCGAGACTCTGTCTCAAAAAAAAAAAAAAAAAAAGAAAAAGAAAAAGAAAAAAAAGAAAAATGATTCAATGCTCAATGTAGTTATTTTCAAATAAAAGTTTTGTATGCCACAGAATACTTAAAAGAAAATCAGACAAATCATTTATATTTTAAAATCCCCTGAACACAAGACTGCTCAGTGACATGAAACAAAGACTGAAAAACAAAAGCAAAAGAATACCCAACAACTTTATTGTTTTAGCTTATTGTTAAAAAGAAAGAGAGGAAAAAAAGGAGATAATGGAATAAGGCTTTTGCCTCTCTGGTTTCCCAGACTTAGGAGCCTAAGTTTTAAAAAGTCAAGTTATAGGGACTACTGAGTCACATTCTCACCTTTATACTCCCCCCAATAAGATCAGGAGGCTCCTCATCTGTTTCCAAGGCGACATTTACGGAGGCAAAGGGACGGCTGGCCATCTGTTGCATCTCTCGAAGAAGTTGCTGATAAATAATACGGCAAAGTCATTAATGGAATGAGTACTGAGGGGCTTTTATTAGTGAATGCTACATGTTAAAAATACCTCATCTTCCCTGATTCAAACAAATCAAGTCCAAAATGATACTTTTTAGACTGCATATTAGATAACATTAGGAATTATTAAATTTTGTTGGATGTGATAACACCATTGTTCTTGTATTTTTAAAAAACCCCTGTTAGAGATACTTATTCAAGTACTATGTTTATTGTAGCACTATTTACAATAGCAAAGACTTAGAACCAACCCAAATGCCCATCAATGATAGACTGGATAAAGAAAACATGGCACATATACACCATGGAATACTATGCGGCCTTAAAAAAAATGAGTTCATATCCTTTGCAGAGACATGGATGAAGCTGGAAGTCATCAGTCTCAGCAAATTAACACAGGAACAGAAAACCAAATATTGCATGTCCTCACTCTTAAGTGGGAGCTGAACCATGAGAACACATGGACACAGGGAAGGGAACATCACACACTGGGGCCTGTTGCGGGGGGTGGGGGGGCAAGGGGAGCGAGAGCATTAGGACAAATACCAAATGCATGCAGGGCTTAAAACCTAGATGACAGGTTGATAGGTGCAGCAAACCACCATGGCACATGTATACCTATGTAACAAATCTGCAAGTTCTGCACATGTATCCCAGAACTTAAAGTAAAATAAGAAAATAATGATAAAAATAAAAGTACTGTGGATGTAATGCTATGATGTTGACTTGTCAAATACATAAAATGGTATGGCCCTATCTCCTCGTCTTTCTACTACTAAAGTCAGGCTTGCTTTCTTCCTACTGAAACTTGCACCAATAACTCACACAACACAAAAACCCATGCCTCATTATATGGCAGATAGGAACGGAGCGAACCCTCCTTTAGAGAGGTGGTATAAGCTAAAAACAAACAAATGTGAAATTTTGCAGAGTAGAGGGACAAACAGGGGCACTGGATTTAGGGAGGCTTGATGTGAACTCCTGCTCCAATAGTCTACAGCTGTGTGACCTTAAGAAAGGTGTTTGAAGTCTCTGGGCATCAGTGTCCTCCCTCTGAAATGTGTTCCTATCCCATAACGTTGTCACTGGGATCAAATGAGATACTATAGCACAGCGCCTAGCACATGGTGAACGGCCTTTCACACATCATTAAGGACATTAGAGATCTTCTGGGCATGATGTTCGCTTTGAGGTTATGCCTTGGGAGACAAGTAGGCCTTACTTCAAATTGCCTTCTTGGAACTACTGTAGGAGACAGAATCTTGGCCTGGATAGATATGGCTCTGTTCTAGAAGGGCATTTTTATGATAAGTATTTTCTTTTCTTTTTTTTTTGAGACAGAGTCTCGCTCTGTCGCCCAGGCTGGAGTGCAGTGGCCGGATCTCAGCTCACTGCAAGCTCTGCCTCCCGGGTTTATGCCATTCTCCTGCCTCAGCCTCTCGAGTAGCTGGGACTACAGGCGCCCGCCACCTCGCCCGGCTAGTTTTTTGTATTTTTTAGTAGAGACGGGGTTTCACCATGTTAGCCAGGATGGTCTCAATCTCCTGACCTCGTGATCCGCCCGACTCGGCCTCCCAAAGTGCTGGGATTACAGGCTTGAGCCACCGTGCCCGGCCAAGTATTTTCTTAAAATACCAACATTCTTACATTTTATAAAACTGTAGGTCCATTTACTCAACTAAAAAATGCAGCAATGCTCCTCTGGGGTCTGTGCTATTCTAAGTGCTGGGGTCACAATAAGACAGGGTTCAGGAGACAACGTGTGTAAAAGCACTTAAAACGGGGGCTGGTGTGTAGCAAGGACTAAACAGCGTCAGCCGCTACTATTATTGTTTTTAAAAATAATATCAAATAATTGCTTCTACAATTTTTGAGAGGGAATAAATAATGACTGACATTTTAAAAATGATGAAATATATTCTGAATGGTCAGCTTCACAGTTACAGAGAAATTCCAAATCACAAGGGTAAAAGCATAGTTTATTAGATGATCAACTCCATACTAAACATATATATATATATATTTTTTAACCTTTTTCCTATAGGCTGTGCATCTTACTTTCTCTCATGCATGTTACAATTTCCAGTTGATTGTTTAGCTTCTGTGTTATTCATTTATTTCTGACATACTTAAGCCTTCATTTTTATGCAGACAAATCTCTACTATACTGTTTTAATAACTTTATACAAAAATAATAATTTTGTTTCCTTTCCAATAGTAACAATACTTCTTAGTGCCCTTTCACTTAGTGCACAGTCTAGAACATCCAGCACAAAGGTGAGTGACTGCAGGATTACAAGAAGATAACGAACTTGGGCTGTGAAGACAGAAGTCCCTAGTTAAGGCTGTGAAGACAGAAGTCCCAGAAGTCCCTTGTTAAAGCCTCGTACTCCCTCTTAGTTAACTATGTGATGTTAAGTTACTTCACCTTTCTGAGCCTCAGCTCATCCATAAAACACAGCTAGTGACAATACCTATTTCATAGGTTTGAGATGAGGATTAATCTATGTAAAACCACTTAGAGCTCAGTGCCTGGAATTTTGAAATGCTCAGATGTCAGCTCTTGTTAAAACTAACTTGTCTGGATACAACCTCTGGTGTTTGTTTGTTTTACCATGAGTGATGCTGGTTATCCACATAGTCTTCATAGTGTTAAAAAGGTATTTTTGATTTTACTGTGAGTTTTGTTTTCAAATTAGGAATGGGTATTGAGTTTTAATAAAGGACGAAATGATTACTTGGCCTCTAGGAAGAATTCAGGTGTTATTTTTTCCCCATTGATAGGATATATTCTTTTTTTCACATGATATAATAGGTTTTCTAATACTAAGTGACTCTTCCATTACACTGCAATTAGACTGCTGCACATACATTCACCATGCGGCTGGCCTTTATATTTTGGTGCTGCCTTTGTCAGGTTTTGGTACCAAGATTTCTGTGTATAAAATCATTCAGACTCTTTCGAGCTTTCCATCTGTTCCTTTGCTTTACAGATTTTAGAAACAATTAATTCTCATAAGCACTCAGGGAGGAACAGGCTATCATTATCTCCATAAGCTCATCTCAACCTTGAAACTCCCTGGGTCTAATGTTTTTCTTGGAGAGAGTAGCACTTAGACAAAGTTTTCAACTCCTTTCTTGGTTACTGGTTTACTGTGGCTTCTTACTCCTTACTCCACTGTGAATAAATATACATTTAAATTAAATTGAAAATATAATTTTTTCAGAACATCATGTAATTCCTTAGGATTTTAAAGTGTATCAGTAATACAGCTATCTAAAAAACCCTTTGAATATGTTATCCCCTGAATTAAAACCTAATAATAAAGTGTGTGCAACATTCCCTCTATGATAACATCATCTTTATGTGGGTCAGAAAAGGTGGTACTGTGGCCCACAACAAGAGGCCCTTATCCTGGAGCCTGTCTTAAGCCTATTCAGACATGAACGTCCTGTAAACAGTGCTGAATGCTTGTGAGCTGTGATTTTAGATACTTCCCTTCTCTTCTAACTCTTATCTATAAATAAATTTTTATGTAGAAAAAGGCATGAGGAGATCCAAAAAAAACCCCAGACAGCTTCTTTGTCTAGCTCTTATATACAGGGGAGCATTTCCATTAGCAACAATGCAACAGGCATGACTAAATGAAAGGCAAAGTAATGATGCAAGTGAAAATTGCCATAAACAAAGTTTTTATGTTGTAATTATTTTAATGGTGGTTATTTTTTTAAAAATATTTATTTATTTATTTATTATTTCAATAGGTTTTTGGGGAACAGGTGGAGTTTGGTTATATGAATAAGTTCTTTAGTGGTGATTTCTGAGATTCTGGTGCACCTATCACCCGAGCAGTGTACACTGTACCCAATGTGTAGTATTTTATCCCTCACCCCCCTCCCACTCTTTCCCCCGAGTCCCCAAAGTCCATTGTATCATTCTTATGCCTTTGCATCCTCAGGGCTTAGTTCCCACTTGTAAGTGAGAATATATGAAGTTTGATTTTCCATTCCTGAATTACTTCACTTAGAATACTGGTCTCCAATTCCACCCAGGTTGCTGCAAATGTATATAAATATATATATACACACTACACTACCCCCCCCATTTTCTTTATCCACTCATTGATTGATGGGCATTTGATATGTTGTAATTTTCAACCAAGTTTATGTATTTAAATTTGTCAACTGTAAATGTTTGCTTGACTTACTACTTTTGGAATGAAGCTCTGGAAACAAATCAAGACTTACTAAAAAATAAAATTCAAGTGGAAAACTTGACTACACACACATTTATCTTTCCTTGAAAAATGAAAAATTTTTGAGATGCTTAAATGGCTGACTTCCCTCTTCCATGAAAAGTTCTTGTGAAGGTGGTGCCTAATCATATGGTGGCTGGGCTGTGCTAATAAGCCCTTGGATCTCTGGCCTCAGTCAGGACTTGGGTTCTGGTCGGAAGGATAAAACTGGCATTTCTAAGTCAACACCAGAGTTTCCTTTTAGGAAGGTAAGACCGTGTGGTGCAGAACTAATTACACTTTATGTAGCACTCATCTAAGTTTACTGACCATATGCTGTGGAACCATGGATTGCAGAAAGCGCTGCATTATTCCTGCCGTGGAGATGTCTGTCTGTCCATTATCACTGAATAGCTAAAACCCACTTGCTTAAGAGAAAAATAAAGAAAAAAACCTCTTCCAGAGATTCTTTAATCTTTACTCACTGAGGCTTACCTCTCTACGTCTGGAGGCCCAACAACTTTGTTTGATCTTCCAAACCACAGCAGCCACCAGGAGCAAAGAGAGGAAACAACTGTGAGAAAGCAAAGTACTGAGTTATTATCCCAGCCCCCAGAATCAGCACCCATCGTTGCCCACACCACAGGCCAGGCAGTGAAAACAGCTCCCAAATGCCACCTCTGGGCTCCCTTCTGATGCTTTGTCACAACAATGTGCTGGCTCAGGAGGCAATGAGTGAGACAACTTCGGTGAGCCAGGCTTCCTAGCCAGGCCTCTAGACTGTACTGTTCCCACGTGGTACTCAGAGAGAGCCCTGACCTTCCACTCGGCCTTTATCACAATGGCCCACAGTGGCTTATCCCAAATAAGCAAAATAATTCTAAGATAATTATAACAAATATTAGTCATGCTGTTTATTCAAGTTAGCAAACATTTACTGGTAAAATCTAAGAAGGTGAAAAAGTTAATTATTAAAGTAACAATCAACTTTTCATAAGGAAGAGGCAAACAGAAGAAGAAATGTGTATAATTTTTAGTGTATATTCAATATTTTTACAAATACGTATTTTTAAATAAAACACATTTGAAATGATCAAACCCAAGCCAACAACTTTCTTACAAATATTAAGAGAAAATAACTCCTAGTGACCTTAATAGTTGAAGAGGATTTCAATGCTCTCTCATGTATAAACCAGGTGTGGAATGATTTGAAAAGCAACAGTGATGGCAAAGAGAATAGATGACTTGCGGTTAAAAGGAAGAACGAGCTTAACAAGTAAAAAAAATAGATAACTGCTATAACTGCATTTTTACTCATTAACTTGTAAAAGGGGCTAGCTACAGGGTATTTTTCCAGAGTGCTACATGCAGACGTAAGGCTCTCTGCCAGTGTCATCAAGGTACTCTCTTGCTGGCTGAGCTCTGCGTTTGTAGGATGGGGTCAGCTTCATGAATGGTACCTCAGTGCACCCAAGTGCTGATACCAACACAGCCCTCCTGGGCTGGCTGGATAAAGGGACTCTAAGATGCTAGGATGACTGAACTGCCCTTACCTCAAGGCTCCCTCAAGGCTCACTGCCTCCCTAAGGGGTACAAGGGTGCAGACCCCTCCAATGGGTGCCCTGACAAAAGGCAATTCAACAGGATTGCCTTCCAAACCCCCCAGGATCGTCACTTGGTGGAAAGCCTTCATCTCTGGGTCTCTCTGCTATCAGGACACTGGCAACTCTTCTCTCTGACAGTCTACATTGTCTTTTTTTTTGAGACAGAGTCTTGCTCTGTCACCCAGGCTGGAGTGCAGTGGCATTATCTCAGCTCACTGCAACCTCCGCCTCCCAGGTTCAAGCGATTCTATTCTCCTCTTTTAGCCTCCCGAGTAGCTTGGACTACAGGTGTGTGCCATCACGCCCAGCTAATTTTTGTATATTTAGTGGAGACGAGCTTTCACCACGTTAGCCAGTCTGGTCTCGAACTCCTAACCTCAAGTGATCTGCCTACTTTGGCAAAGATTACAGGCCTCACATGACTGGCCTACATTGTCTTTTTAATCAATACTTTAATTGGGTCAGGTCCTGTTCTAGGCTCATGGAAAACACTGATAAACAGAGCAAAGACTACTGTCCCATGGAGTTTACATTCCAGCAGGTGGAGATAAACAGTAAGTAAATAAGCAAATTACAGAGCATGCCAAAAGGTAGGTAAGTGCTACAGAAATAAAAAGATGGTAAGAGCAGGGGGTTCAGGAGTACCAGTGGCACTCCAGAGCAGGAGGGTCAGAGTATGGGCCTTTGTTTCTCAGAAGGTGACATTTGAGCAACAACTTGGAGAAGGTATGGGAGGTGGCTCATGGACGCCTGCAAAAGTGCATCTGGAAAAAGGGGCAGTCAGTGCAAAGCCCAAGGCAAGGCTGTGTCTGGGATGGCTTGGGGAGCCTCAGGAGGCCAGCATGTTTGGAGTGGGGTGTGTAAGGCCAGAGATAAAGGCAGAGAGAAGGGTGAGGGTGAAGGGCAGATCATGTGAGGCACTGCAGGCATTATGAGGGCACTGGGAGAGAAAGCCAGTGCAGGTTTTTAAACAGAAGTGTTGTGATTTAATGTTTGCTGAGAAGACCATTAGGGGTGCAATGGCATTATCAGGGAAACCAGCAGTCTAGGTGAGATGATGGTGGCTCAAACCAGGGCGGTGGAAGCAGAGGTGTGAAAAGCACTTTGGAATCTGGCCATATCAGGAGATCCATTTTAGACATGCAGAACCCTGAGACATCTACCGGACAGCCCGGGGAGATATCCTGGGCAGACATTCTAACCTGGAGGCTGGCTGCCAGGTCTGGGCTGGGCATGGCATTTGGAAAGCATCAGGATATATATGGTATTTCAAGCAATAACCCTGGCCATGGTCACCAAGAGAGTGAATACAGATAGACGAGAATGTCCTGGGGCTACCCTAACAATGAGAAGTTGGGGAGAACAGGAAGAACCAGTAAAGAGGTCTGAGAATAACCTTCTCAGTCTTTCTTGGCTTCCGTGTGTAATCCTGATTTTTGTCATTTTTATTTTAATAGATAAACATAAGGAAGCAGCAAATTCACAAGGAAGAGCATGAAGCCAACGGGAACAGCTTCTAAGTTGGTCAAGAGCCTGTTGCCGCTGCTGAGAGGTGAGGACCCTGGTGTCACTCAGAAGCCTCTCTTGGGTCCACCTGTAATACAGTCTGTGCCTGTTTCCCTCTCAGAGAGGGTGAGAGGGCCCTTCTGTATTCAATGCAGATCTGTTGACAACACCAGTTACCCAGTTCTTTCTACTTGCTGCTCCAGCTACAAGAAGTGACAGAACAGCAGGCAAGGGAGAGTCTCTTATTTCCCTCTTTACAGAGGCTCCTTCCTGAGGCTGGAAAAGCATCTCATTAGGACACAAAGAGGTCTCAACAGACTGCATCAGGACCTAGAGTTTACTTCTCTGTGCCCTGAGTCTGGAAATACTTTTTCTAACTCACCTTACATTGATTTTCTCATTTGAATCATCGAATTTTCCCCTGACTTTTATTCTCTTTTCCATATATTAGCCATTTTTCAGAGTGCTTAGGATTATCTGGATACCTTTCCCCTTTTCCTTATAGGCTCCATTTTGAATTCTTTTGGACCAGGCTGGGAGCAGTGGCTCACGCTGGTAATCCCAGCACCTTGGGAGGCTGAGATGGGAGGATTGCTTGAGGCCAGAAGTTTAAGACCAGCCTGGGCAATATAGGGAGAACCCAACTCTACAAAAAAGAAAATATTAGCTGGGCATGATGGTGCATGCCTGTAGTCCCAGCTCTACTTGGGAGACTGAGGTGAGGAGGACTGCTTGAGACCAGCCCAGGAGTTTGAGGCTGTAGAGGGCTGGGATTGCACCACTGTGTTCCAGTCTGGGCAACAGAGACCCTATCTCAAAAAAAAAAAAAAAAAAAAAAGCTAAATAAATTCTTTTAGACATGGTTAACTTGCTCTGGGAAAATATTTTCTTCCCCATGTCATGAAAATAACTCTATTCTTAGCTAAAAGTTTATCATCACTAGTTAGTAAACATCGTCTAGAAAAACCAAAGTTCCGGATTCTTTTCCAGAATTTCAACCCCCACAAGGAAGAAGCAATGAAAATGCCATCTGTCCTTGTTTACTACATGAGAGGCCATGGGCCTGAAAAATACTTCCCCCATATATTCTGATAGTGTCATTTGGTCATCCAGGGACTGAACGTCCAGTAGAAGTGGCTGGTCCTCACCGGGCTGGTACTTGGCAGCAGGGCCATCTTATTCCATACACATGCTCTAAGAATTTAAGGATGTCTACTAAGTGGAGCTAGAATACAGCCCCTATATCCCTTAAAAGCAAGCCACTGACACAAGCTTTTTTCCCTAAGAGGTTGGTGCCTATGGTTCCTCCTTACTCTGCACTTATCCTGAAGAGTCTAAGTTTACCTCCCACAAATATCTTACCACATTATGTACTAGATGCTGAAGGCGTGTGTGTATGGGACTGAACGAGAGACAGTGCCCTGCTCCCCTGAAGCTTGGTCTACTGACCCAGATATTAAGCAAGTAAACATATGAATATATTCTTCAAAGTGTGATGAATACCACGATGAAAAATAATATAGTTCTACGGGAGAGAGGAACAAGGGGAGACAATTTAGCTTAGCCCTTAGAATTTTCAGACAGACATGAGTGTCTTTTGTGTGCTAATGAATGACTCATGGGGAGAGGGGCCTAAAGAGCCTCAAATGTGGGCTGGTCACCAGAAAACCCAACTAGCTGGTTAGAGGGTTAGAACTTTCAGCCCCATCCCCCAACCTCCAGGAAGGGGAAAGGGGCTGGAGATGAGTTCAGTCACCAATAGAAAGTGATTGCATCCATCCTGCCTATGTAATGAAACTTCAATTAAAAAAACTCAGAATGATGAGGCTTGGGGGAGCTTCCGGGATAATGAACATATCCACGTGCAGGGAGGAGGCTTGTCCAGAGAGGGCATGAAAGATGCCTTGTGCTATTCATGTCTTCCATTTGGCGGTTCCTGAGTTGTACCCTGTATAATAAGACTGTAATTCTATGTATAGTGCTCTCCTGAGTTCTGTGAGCTGTTCTAACAAATTGTCAAATCTTGGAGTGAGCAGTCACCAGAAGCCCTGAATTTGTAGTTGGCCCAGTAGCAGTGAGGTAGCCTGGGGACCCATGTGTGCTTAGTGTCTGAAGTGGGAACAGTCTTGTGGAACTGAGCCCCTAATCTGCAGGATTTGCTTCAACTATGGGTAGTGTCAAAATGGAACTGAACTGTGGGACACTGGAGAGAGAATTGGAGAATTTGTTATTGTCTGGAAAAATCAAGCAAGGCATGAAAGTATACAGAATGAAGGGTAGTGGGAAGAGTGTTCCAGAAAATGGGATAAGCATGTACAAATGCTCAGTGTAGGGCAAGGGCTTGTGCTTTTGAGGACATAGGAGATGCCCCTGGTAGCAGAAATGTGGAAGAATAGAGTGCAAGCTGAATGTGGAGAAGTAAGCGGAGGCCAGTTCACCCAGGATGCTGAATTTTATTTTAGAT